AATCAGAAGGATAAAAAAATTGCAGATAAAATAAATTAGCTTGGTTTCCCACTAAAAAATAAGTAAATTACAAAAAAATTTAAAAGTCACATTTTCATACCATACACCTTTTGTCAAGACAAAAAGTTACCTGTCTTCAAGATCTTGGCCTCTCCCTTTGCCACAGTAGCACTCTCACTCAGTCCACACTTGTTTTCAGAAAAGACTCTGAACTTGTAGGTGTTGCCCATGATGAGGTCAGAGATGGTGGCGTTCAGTCTGTGGTAATGCTCTAACACAGTGAACCAGTCCTGCAAACAATTACAGGACAGGTCAGCAGTATAAATATAATCATTAGTTTTTTCTGTTAACCCTCACTGAGAAATAACCACAACATTTATTAAACAGGAAGTAGCCCCTCTTCGACACGGGGATCTTACTCCAGTCTTTTTGTCGGCCTTCTGGACTGTGTATCCTGTGATCTCAGTGTTTCCATTGTCGTTGGGAGGGGTCCACTCCAGAGCAACGTTGAAGCCCCAGGTGTCCACAATCTTCAGGCTGGAAGGAGGCCCTGGCAGCTCTGTGAGTCAACACGAACAGACGTGTCATCAGCTACATTTTGAAAACGTCACTTCGCCGTGTTCACATTTTGCTCACCGACGATTTGAAGAGTGAGCGAGGCCTTGTCTTCAAAGCCCTCCACCTTCACGGACATGTCATACACGCCGGAGTCATCTCTCTCGGCCGCACGGATGAACACGATGCTGTCTCTTTCGGTGCTGCGGATGTTCACCCTCTTTGGGTCCAAGGGCTGACCGCCCTTTGTCCAAGTGACCACAGGTTTGGGTTTGCCCTGAGGGCAGGAAACAAAGGCGTGCAGTGAGATATTTCTCTTTCCTCACATGGTTTCAAACATACAGCTGTGTTCTGCTTACTGAGAAAGGGATGGTCAGGTTGATCTTGTCCCCAACGTGAGCGACATACCTCTGCCTGAGGAAACGAGGCAAACGGATCTTGGGACGGTCTAAACAGTTAAAAAGATAAATATATGTTTTTAAATAATCCATATTTATTCATGTTGTTTTCTGAAGTATCCATTTCTAGATTCATTTGCTCATTCTGGAGTTTCCCTTTTCTTTTTTCGCTAAAGTCTGTATCTGCAAACAGAATAGAGACAAGTTCAGTTACTTAATTAAATTTAATTATTAAAAAGATTAATAAAATGCCACATGACTTTGTAATTTTAATAAACCTTTTAAAGAGATTCAAACTATTAAAATCAGATAATTATTAAATTATAAAAACATTTAAATGACAGTCTGCTTTTCCCATTTTTTATGCAAATTAACACTTGAACATTTTTTTACCTTTCCATTACACTTCAAATTTCTGTCCAGTTCATCCGGTATGGAGCCCGCAAGGGGACATGGAGGGATTTTTTTTTTTTTGCGTTCCCACACAGTACTATTGTGTTACCTCGCAAAAGCTGTTTATTCCTGTTGTGCCTGCCGATTTATTAACAAATTAATAGGGATGCACGATGTTTCGGTATTGATATCAGTATCGGCTGATATTGGTTATTTTTTTGAATATCAGTATTGGTCCGATATGTAAAACTGGGCCAATATTAACATCCAATATTGATTTCCCACTTTTTAGCTTTGTGTTTTTTGTTTTGAGAAGGGAGATGGTTGGTTGAGCGGCTTCTGTTTGATCATGATCGTGATATTTACGCTGCGTAGCCAGGAATAACTGAAGTAGGGAGCCATGTCAGACGTCGGCCGTTTTTTATGGTATCAAGAAAAGACCCAAGTGTGTTTGAACATATACGTATAATATAATTTGTGTGTTTATGTAATATTGGTAAATATTGGTTATCAGGCCATAACACCAATAATTATGTTGGATATCGATATCTGCTGAAAATTTCATATCAGTGCAGCCCTAAAAATTAACATTCTCACCATAATATGGGAGTTACCCAACTTTAATTCAGTTTTGGAATGACTATATCACACAGCCACACAAGGAGGTGTGTAATATGCAGATGTTTTAACTCTCTGCAGCCACTGTGGCAACACATCCTGTTTCAGTAACTGAATATTTCATAATATAAGTCTGATTCAATACAGTTAATTCTAAACAAACTTTGGCGTGGGAATACAAATGTATTGCGAGATAATGCAAAAAAAAAAAATCTCTCCATGTCACCTTGCGGGCTCCGTAATACAGTATATAAGGAACTCATTTTTAATGATTTAAGATTATTATTCCTGTTGGATGGTATAATGAGACCTAACCAACGTTGTTCTTCCCTTTTTACAAGTTAATGCATGTGAAGTTTCCGCAGCGTTGCCTCTGCACTAGCCTGGTTTAAACCAGACCCTGTCCTTCACTTTGCTTCGTACAAGGGTCTGGACTTGCTGCATAGAGAATCGATTTCTTGCAGGAGGCGTGGCCTCTGCTGAAGCATGTGTGTGTTGTCGATGTGAAGGAGGCTAAGCTAAGAAGCTAACCGGAAATCGCGTGCGCTATAAACAACCCTACTGAGAGGAGAAAAGTACCGAGCCAAACGAGACGACTGTAAATGAGAGCTGCTGCTTTGTCAGACAAATTTAGTTTAATTTGGAAGCCTTATCAACACAGACTGGCTTCATTCACTTCCTCCACTGCCGTATGCTAAACTAACTAGCAGACACTGCGCAGAACATCAACGTCATTCAAAACTCCACCTTCTGTTTGRTGATTGGCCCAGGTAAAATAAACTACAAGCAGACACTGCGCAGAAAAATGACGTTCTGTTCTCTGATTGGCCCGGCTAAAAATCTGCCAGTGAAATCCTTGTCAATGGGAGAAGTCCCAGACCTCCGTCTGGGACTTCTCCCATTGACAAAGTGAAGGGAAACTAGAATTGAGCGGAGCTGCGTGGGAAGGCAAGGGCCAGGCTACCTCTGCACAGCATGGAGTTTGGAAATATTTAGCCGAATTCCAGGCAGTTATATTTTAGACAGACTCAAAATTATGTTGATGGTTCATTGACTTGCGCACGGATGACAGATACTCTACCTTCCCCAGTGCAATGACTGCGCTGCCACTATGTTTCTTGGCTTAAGCGGCACTTCATTTCTTAGCATGCCTGGCAGAGTTTTAAACTCTGGGAGGACACAGCAGCAAGATCTGTCAGCGGAGTCCGAAAGCAGAGAGGAAGAAAGAAGTGGTGTCCAAGAAAGTCAGGCTGGCACAACCTGACACCTTAATTCTTTACTTTTATTGGCCAACTTTCATCCACTGGATTACAAATGAGACCGTGTTTTAGCTAAAATGAAGCACAAAATCCAAGTACATACTGTACTTTGACATGACAGAGACTTGGACTCAACATTTCACTTGATGTTTGTTTTAATCAGCTTAACTTGATGCTAGAGAGTCCACAGATTATTTTAATCTTGTGTTCTGAAAAGTAGTCATTGTTTCACAAATTACATATCTGACAGTTAAATTAGGGCTTTTATCTTTCACTCCCTGAGGAAGTGAATTTCAAGTTAATATGAAATTGGAAAAACCAAGAGTTGTTCCAAGAGATGAAGATACACATCCATCAAGAAAACCATCACATGTTTGGTTGAGGTCTTGTTATACTTTCGTTTTTTAACAAAATATTGAGCCAACCTCTTGACAGATTTACTGCCACTAGCTTGTCATTTTATACATTCTCATGCCAAACGTCTTTGTAACACAGAGAAAACAAAACCGTCACAGTCAAGGAGAAACGTTTTTATCTTTGTTTCTCAACATTTTCATCACCTCTGTTGGTCGTCTTTCACATCTGCCTTTGTTTTATTGATGGCGAATCAATGAAGTGTGTGAAGAAGCTGGCGAACTTGTGACCGCACTGTTTAATTTCTTTAATTACTGAAAATCTGCATTTTTGGAAACAGAAGGTATTTGTCCAACAGCGGCAAAACAAAAACACATTTGGAAGATACTTCAGGGTAAAAAGAGAAGATGTGCAAATACAGACATGATAGTTCAGCACTGCAGTGCAGGGGCGGTTCTAAGGGCGGAGCCACAGGGGCATTGGCCCCAGCTGAAATCTGATTAGCCCCCTAAAGTGCCCCTGTTCTTTCATTCAACTGTCCTTTACCTGGAAGTGATAACGTCGGGTGCAGTTTAATGTCCCAACACTAGAGGTACTAATGAGTCAACTAGGAAAGTCCAGCATGAATCAAGCTTACAGAAGTCTTCGCTTCTCAAAAAAATCAGAACAATCCTGCAGAAAGTTTTTCAACTGAAAAAAGATTACAAATGATGGTTTTCTCAAATGCTGTGTGTTTGAAAGTATTTTTTTCTATGTACAGTAAAAATGTACATAAAACTGTTAAGGAGAATTTATTTTACAAGCTTTTAAAAAATGGCATTACTTTACAAGTGTTTGAACATGTGTGACTGGTTAAATATTACTTGTCCTTTATAAATATAGGATGTTGAACAAATACTTGYCCCCTCTYRGAAAATGGTGGCCCCTTGATGYCCCCTTACACAGGCAAAWCCTAGATCAGCCACTGKTGCAGCGTGAGGAAAATTAGRCAGAAATGACCYTTTACTCAACAAATCCTCCTTCACTACCAAATATCATCTCCAAACTCACAAGAAAACCTCAAAACTACTTTATAATTTTAGTTAAAATGTCAGATTGTTAGCCTCTGTGACTTTAGATGTGATACTGAAGCCACTTGGAAGCATCTTCCTGCAGCTCACCACCTGCTGAGAGCAGCACGCCAACATTTGTCAGGACTCTAAATAAAGAAGGCYTACTGTAGCTTTCACTATGTCAGCTCTCTGCATGACATGAGATTTACAGGATTTAATTACATCAAAATGCATCCAAATCTTGGTTGAATGAAGCTGGGGTCTTAGAAACTAATTTATCGGTGTAAAAAGGAAAAAATGTTTGCAGTAAATTGTTTGCTATAAACAAGAAAAAAAAAACGTTTTATGGCAGATCTGCTGCGTTAAGTGCTTCGAAAGGAGCTCTCTCTGTAAAGTCATTGAGATGTTTGAAAATAAACAGTGAATTTTGGGAGCTGTCATTAGTTTTGGGTGTCATCTGAGAAGTCAGAACCACCACCACCCCCTCATTCGGAGACATGGCCCTCTGGATTTCAGCACCTGCCCCCTCTCTTCGCTTCTTCACAGCCCCCACCTGCTTGCAGTTGGATCACTTGACACCATCTCTCTTGCAGAAATTACCCAGACCCTTCCCTCAGCATGAATCTCAGCAGGGATTACATCACAATCCCAAACTCTCACAAAATAATAATAATATTTGTGAGGCAGGAACATTCTAACCACTTCCCAAAGATTCAGACATTCTGTCAGAAACTATTCGTGGATTGTTTTTTAACAGGGACCACCTGCCACAGTCGAATCCTGAACACGAACCCAGCTATTGAAAGACTCGGTCGAGTCCGTCTCAAGTTGCATTCCAACCTCCCCTCGGCTATTTCCTTACAAATAACGATGATCTGAGYGTTACGCTGCTCCTCCTTTTAAAGCCCTCAGGGTCCAATCATCATTTTACCACAAATCACTTGAGTTATACTGTCAGTGCTTAACACCGTCAGGTGTGGAACATCACCATCCACCTACTTATCACACTTTGACTGGGTGGAAACGAGTGGGTGGACCAGAGTTTTAGACCATTAATGCTGCAGGTATGTGGCAACAGGACGGGGAGAGCTGAGACGAAAACACTGCTAAGCTGATTCTGCGTGACCCCTCTACTTTACCACTCCCCTTACTTACAATTAATGACTTTAAAACATCAACATAACTACACTTTAGGTTTTATTTTGAAATGGGTTGAACATAAAAACAAGTCTCAACCCCTCATTTTTTTTCAATTTTTTTGATCAAACTGTTGATATTTAATCTGAGTTGTCTTACCAGCGACCTCCTTGACCAGAACCGGCTCGGGGAGGGTGACAGGGGGGCTGCGACCTCCTTCGTTCACAGCCACCACGCGGATRTTCAGGTGGTCACCGGTGGTCAGGTTCTTGATAACAAAGCGACTGGACTTCTGCAGACTCTCGTTCACTGCCTTCCAGTCGTCAGCTGCAGGGGAACAGGACGCACAGTGACCATCACAAAATGTGGCAGGAGCGCTTTAAASGCTGATTAGGAACGACGCGAACCCTTTTTCAGCTAGCATTCTGATGARGAGTTCTTCTTCAACCCACTATTTATTTCAAACTACTTTCTTCATKTTTTAACATGATTATTTTTACAATAATTAAAGAGACATTGATGCTCAGGCATCTTACATAACAGCAAAACACAACCTATTTGCACAATGATAGTTTCAACCACATAAAATAACATTTTATAGCAGTAATATCCTCAGGACACAACTCTTTTTCCCAGAATGCACACAGACAACAAACTTCACAGAACACCTGTGCATATTAAGCTGCTGCAGTTGCAAAGACTGTTGCAAATTTACAGCAATCTTCTGTTTATTTACTCACTCAATACTAGAAAATTAAATGCATGTTGTTGTAGCAGATTTGAGTAAATAGCTTAAGTGTGACAGAAACTGCAGTTTATCTGTCATCTTATCTTTTTTGAAGTCATTCCTGACTTAATTCTCATTTTTTAGTCTGAATTCTGAATGTAACTCGTATTTGTGTTGCATAGCCTGGCAGTCTCGTGCCCTTTTATGGGGACCACCCTGCTGTTTTCTTATGGAGATGAGGAATAACTGACTCATGCTTTCGTTTAACGAGAACATGAAATTGGCTATTTTAAGAGCACCAAATGAGCATTCCTGCGCTTGAAGAACATGCCATAAATCTTATGCAGACATACATTAGAACCCGTCTGCAGAGCAGAATTAGCACTCTGCGAAAACGAGGCCCAATATCAATAAACTAAAACTTGTCCTGCTGTATTTTGCAGACTTGTATCAGGTATTTGAACAAAATATTTTGTGTGTTTAACATAAAGTTGCTGGGTGAACATCTGCTAAAACAAGCCTGCAGTTAAACACTGCTGAGATTAGCTTAGCACTGTAAGTCTAAAAGCAGGAGCTCCAGGACTAGGGCAGCTCCTGAAATGCCTCTTTCCTTCTAGGGAGAAGTTAGGAAGCTCGAGATATAACTCTGCGACTGACACTTCAGGGACAGCTGTAACTGATACGGCTGACCCACACTGAACCAGCGATTTCACATTTCCCTGAGTTTATTTAAAAAGAAACTATTATATATTGGACTGAAAACAGACATGTGGTTATAGTGACACATGTCAAGACCTGAAAGAAACTGTCAACAGAAAATCTTTCAGAAAAGAATTTAAAAAGGTCAGCTTATCTTGTCAGGGTGTARAAATACTTCCACTTGACCCCTTTCATGCTCCGTTATACGCTGCACACTGTTCAGGACTCACTTCCATCCTTGCAGACTTCAATTGTGTATCCATCCAGACCGGAGGCCCCGACGTTTGCAGGCTCGCTCCAAATGATGGTGACTGAGTTGTCGTTTTTGTCCTCAACAAACAGATCCACAGGAGCGCTTGTAGGCTCTGAAACGGCCGTTAAAATTTTAAGTAAACTACTAAAATAAATAATAAAAATACACCAAAAGCATTTCGTTTTTTGAGAAGAAGTGGTTACCTTTGGGTGGTGGAGGAGTGGGTGGTTTGGGTTCTTCTGGTGGAGGTGCAGGTGCAGCTTCACCTGATGTTTTATACAGACAATCATATTATTATTAGAATAAAATACCAGTCAGCAATTTTATAAATCACAGCACTGAGGAACTCTAACCCAGATAATAGAATATTATCGCAAAAAGAATAGAAATAAAGTTTTAAAAAGAAGCATTTTCTACTGTTTTGGGTTGGTTTACCATCAGCGGGTGCTTCGGAGTCTGCAGCAGGAGCAGCTTCCTCTGTGGCTGGAGCAGCAGCAGCTATTATTAAATGTTAGACATTAATAGTGCATGAAGCAGATGGGACATTTTTTTATTTTATATTTTACAAATAAGTACGTGTTTGTTAGGACTGCAGACTTTACAAAGTATCATAAATAAGTCAGTTTGCTTTACAAAATGAACTTTTTAATCTTGGTGATTTATGTTTTCCCTTCTTTTTTACCCATCAGCTGAGACTTCAGCAGCAACAAATATCACAGATTAAGATCATATATTTCAGAGAAGAAAATAAAAAGGCTATTTTTTTATGCAAGACGTGGTTTGAATTAGATTTTCAGACCTCAGCAACAACAGTTGCTGATTTGTCAGTAACAGGTGCAGAATCCGATGTAAATTGTTTATTAGATATTATTTATGGTCAAATCTTCTTAGAGAAGATTTGGAGGGTTTATTAGATATTTCAGTACGGTGTGCAGCAAACTTTATTAGAAATATTAAGAGACATGTAAGATCAAATAAACTATTTTCAGTCTGTAAAATGTAAAACACGAGTTAGATTTTAAAGTTGGTGATAGGTGCATCAAATGTGTTAAAATATATAAACTAAATTGTTATAAACGTTAATTCCACTCATCAGGAATAAGTGAAAGACATAATAAATACGTTTTTTGGGTGTATTTATAAAGTATTAGTGGCCTCCAGGACTTGAACGCAAAGCGCACATTAGAYGGTTATTATAGAAGCTAGTGAGTTTCTGAGGACAGAAGCTGAAATCAGTGAATATCAAGCCATTTCCAGTTTTGATTTTAAAAACTTCACACAAATAATTAGGCTAAGCCAATCACACTTAGTGCGCACGTGCGTAAAAGTAACCGCGTGCTTTCCATGGCGCCCACCAACAAACCAAGCTTTGATTAAAAACTGAATCTGCATTCATTATGAATCCAGCTTCTACTGGGGTGTAAGTGGGGGCACTCTCACGCAGACTTTACCCTCTGGAGCGGCAGCCTCCTCAGCTGGTGGAGCCTCTGCTTCAGCCGGGGCGGGCTCGGCGGGCGCGGGCTCCGGGGCAGGAGCCGGAGCCGGCTCCGGTGCCTTCTCCTCTTTCTTGGCTGGTTCTTTCTTGGCCGCCTTCTTGATCGGGGCAGGCTTGGACGGCATGTTGGAGGTCGCAGCTAATTCCCAACTCAGTTAAGTCCTTTAAACTGTATCCAATGCCATCATTCCTGAGGGAGTAACAGGCTTATATATCCGGCTCAGCGGGGGGCAGACACCGCCCCTTAATCAGCATGTAACAGATACTTAAACATCATGGATGACTCCGTTTGAAGAAACATTATTAAAGATTTTCTGACATCTTTTGCTATAGCTATTTGCTTCAATTTGGCAAGCACAAAAGTTCATCATCATGTTAAATTATGTTACTTTAAATGTGTTTATAATCAAATACAATAAAATAAACTGGATGCTGCCAATTTGTAACCATCAAATTCAAACACAAAATAATAAGATGACATGTATTTTATTATTTTCAACAAACAGTGATAAGTGGATGAAAGCCTCCATAAACTCTTCTCCATATCAGACCCAACTCTAATGAAATATATCTTTTTTCCCCACTTCTCCATGATTGTTGCCGCATCCAGAATGCTGCCCTGCTGTATTTACAGTCTTTACAGTGATGTTCTGTACAAAATAGAGAAATTAAGTTTTACAAAGGATTTTTTTAGAAAAAACAAATATCAAATATCTGCGTATTAAAAATGAAAACAATGATTTTCTAAAACAATATGTTGATGTGAATGTTTTTTTTTTGCCTCATCACACAGCAAGTTTACATGCATTTACAACACTTACAAACCCTTAACAGTTGCACATCATGTGACATTAAATACAGCATAACATTTTTTTTAAATCTTATAGTCCACAACAAGCTTTAAGATATGACTATTCAGCAACCTGTATTGGCCAAAGTTCACAGAATCATCTCTATTTGTCCTAAATCAACTTTGCCAAAAATGAAAATGAAAAACTAATTTATGCCAAATGAGGCTTTTTATGTTTCCTTTTTCAAATTTTTTCTGACCACATACAAACTGAAGTTACATTTCTCCTGTTTCCATTCATAAACTCAAACCATCAAACCGTTTAGGCGCTTTGACTACATTTTACAAACCCTGTGTTCACATCATTTGTCCTTTAAGGCTAGGTCTCGACGTCTGAAACAGCTTTTTTTTTATCTTGCGGTGCATTTTGGTGCAAAAATTAAATCACTTAAGACCAAGTGAAAACAGTACTGTGACATCTGCCAATTGCTGACACCAGTAAAAGTTGCTGCATAGTCTTGATCCACTAGTAGGCAAACACAAGTCACAGCTAATACAGAGCAACAGGCACAAACACCAGTAAATGAGATGAGAAGCTGGACCTGATGGCTTTAGTGAACCTGCAGAAGGGACCGGACTGTGACCAGTCGTGTCATCTGAAACCAGGAATATTTACAAGCAATGAAGCCACGTGACGTAGCTTTTCTCCTGAACATTGTTCATTCATTCACCTTGTTTTTAAATGTTTTTAGAATACCCATCAGAGCTGCAGATTAGTCCTATATGCAAGGAGCAATAACAATATCTGCAAAACAAAATTTAAAAAATGGTTATACTTCCTTAACTAGCTGTCATTAAAGTGGTCAGACATTCATTTACAACATTTACTCCACGTAAAGTTTTGTCTGAGTGTTGATCAGTTAGGGATGAGGAATATTGCACAACCACACACCTTTTATTACTCCATAAAGATTTTCTTTACAAAAAAAAGAAAAAAAATCTGCACAGAGCACTTAATAAGTATCTAAATGTTTTGCTTATTTTCTCGCACTTATCCCCTTCTCGTTTTGTGCCGTGTACCCCAAACGTTTTCAAATAAATACGGTACGACATCGACTCCACGCACATCTCACGTGACTTTACGGTCTAACATTCTATGTCACATTTCTTTTATGTTTTACAGAAATGACACCATACTCTTTTCTAACCTACTTTGCACGACTATGTYACTTTTGATCAATCCTAAAACAGTTTGGAGCATTTTTAAAGGAGCACCATACATTTCTAAACAATGACTACTGAGTGACTGGTCAGTTAGTGGCGTGTGTGAACTGTGGCCAGTAAAACTGACACAGACAGCTTTAGAGTCACTCTGCACAGCCACGGTTAAAAGTGTTTAGCAGTGGTACTTTGATAAGGCTTCCTTGAAAAGCACCTACTACATGTTACTGTTATACAGTTTTTAAAGTGTTCTATATACATTCATGGATTAAATTAAATTCCTATTTTGACAGTCAAAATGCTAAATTAAAATATTTGGTTTATTTCAGGTATTTGCACCAACTAATGCAGATAAAGTAACCATAGCCTAGTCTGACTGTATGTGCATATACATACTGTACTATATACAGAATGTTAATGGGAAAAATTTGAAACAAATGTGCTTGCTCTTAGATAAATATAATAAAATCACAATCTGAATTGGATTAGATAAGCATTAGTTTGTTTTTTATAAGAGGGTGTTAGTTATAATATCCCTGTGTAGTATCTAATACCTGAAATATATGGCAGCGTTGGTGGCGCTGCATGTCTTGTATAAAATAAAACGAAGTTAAGTACTTGGAAAATCAGACTTCAAATCAAAACTGATAAATTGTTTTATCCAAAAAGAGTATGACAGCAAATTATGCTCTTTAACTTATAGAAAAAACTGAAAATTATCCACTATTTGCACAGAAAAATCTAAAAAATGATCTTGCAGATTTCATATTTTTTGTCTATTTGAAAAAAGAACAACAACCGTAAACTATAATTAAAATAGTGAGCTGAAGAAAGAGTATATTCTGACCGAGTTGCTCAGATAAAATTAATGAAAGCACCAGTAAATTCTACTTAGGTTGAGTTGACAACAATGTCTTTGCTGTTAAGGCATATTTTACCTGCTAGAGTTGTAGAGTTAAAGATTGCATATAAGTAACAATTAGCCTTCGAATATTGGCACAGTGAATATGTACCGACAAACTGTTATAAACAGCGTTTGTGATGCTGTCATACTCTTTTCCAAAACAAGTTCACAACATCAAGGATAGCGCTATTTGATAAGGACTCAACATCCCATGATGCACTTGAGGAGAAAACAGGATGGACAGTGCAAGTTTTTGCAGAAATCCCCTGAAGTCAAAGTGCACAACAATGGATTTCATTGTAAACTGTTAGCACCAATCTAATAGTTGAGGGCTAATATGGTGATAAAGTGTTAAATACTGTTAACATAATACAACTTTTCATTTAATTCTTGTGAACTGTGTTACTTTTAATACTGAATGTGTTAGACTAGCTCAATGGTAATCCCAACCTGTAGATAATGATAGTTAAAGTCATCCCTACAGTCATTAAGGGTCTATCTCTTTCTGATTGCACACTGCTCAATCAGAAGTCCTGGGTGCTAACTGTGAGTTTTGATTTCAAAGTTTAGGCAGGCTTAGGTCTTCTTTGTCTGGAGATTCAATGTAATTCGCAGCCTCTTGGAGTTTCAGAAGCATTGCCATCTGAAAAAAAAAGAGAAATGAGAGGAGCAAAGTAATTAAAACCCCACAGGATTAAACAAAAAGAAAGAAATGAATGACACTCTCTTTCTTACCAAAGGATCAGACTCCATGGAGCTGGGTGGAGTTTCCTTGTGAGGCCTCTCCTCGCTGGGCTGACAGGGGCTGCTAGAGCTGATGCTCGGAGGAGGAAGATGGAAAAGTTTTGCTTGGTCCTGCTGTGCAGACGGCCACGGCAGAGTGCCCCTTACCCACTCCACTGGGTCCTCCCATACKGCCTTCTGACCATGGACCTGAAGAGTCATGAGGAAAAATAAAAGCAAGTTGTTTATAGCTCTGGATAGATGCAAAGAATGCAACTTTTTCTTCTTTAAATAAACATAACAACACTGAGTTTAGATATCAATTAGAAAGCTTTTTATTAGAAAAATAAATACTCTGAAAGCACTTTATGTTTTAATGTCAGCACTGTACAATAAAACCCCTGCTGAATGTTTGATCATACCTTGATGCCATCCTTGGCGCCTTCTTGCAAATATGGAATAATAGAGTGGTTCCAAAGATCAATGAACCAAGATCGAAACTCATCAACTGTGACTGGACAAGATAGAAAAAAACAAGGGCCTGCAAAGTATGAGAGGGAAAAAAAACATCACATAAATCACACAAATGTTGAGTTTTCATCCTTGCAACGATGCTCCGTTTGTCATTTTTCATACCAATAAGAAAGTCTGATGTGCTGTGCTTCTCAAGGAAGGTGTGCAAATGATACCACAGTTTGGGAACCCAGTCCAACACCCTGATGAGGTTCTCGTTGGTCAAGTTTCTCTCATCTTCTGACTCCATCAGCTTCCTGTGTAAATACCGTACAAGGAAGCCATTGGCTGGTTCTACATTGTTAGAGAAGGTCACCATTCTGAGAAAGAAAAAAAAGATACGAATGAAGTTACATCAAAATATACACAAACAAGTATGCCAAGAACCAAGTCACGTACTTCTTTCATATTTATTTCACTATAAAAACATCCCATCTGACATAATTACTGAGACAAATTCATGAGTAAATCACATTTCACCAACCTGAAGCTGAGGTGTAGGCTGTGGTTTGCCGTCATCTTCACTGGCTGATTACTTGTTCCAATAATGTAAGGACTAAATGTAGATGCAACATTCCATACGTTAGTGCTGTTATCATTATATAAATTACACATCTGTGCATATAGATCCAGTCTAGTGTGTGGTTTTTTTTCTTACCATTTGTGATATTTGCATGTCAGAGCACCATTAACGAGTTCACTGATGGAAACAGGATCATGAATATCATCTAGAATAACCACCAATGGAATTTCTGACGCACTAGTGTCCCGGTCTATTTGATTGGCCAAGTTTGATAGATAAAGCTGCAGATCCTGGCAGATAAAAAGAAGCATAGACAAACATAAGCACACGATAATAAAGTAAACCAGACTTTATGACAAATTAAATAAACTCAGCGGGGCATAGATTTGACCAAACCATCAGTTTGTGTTACCTTGCATGACTGGCGGTGCATGTTGAACGTGATCACGATGCCCTCTGTGACTTCACGGGCACTGCGGTCCACCAGGTACTCAGCCAGGCGGGATGCCAGATAGCTCTTACCTGTCCCACTTGGGCCAGCCAGGATGAGACGGCGGTGTTTGAGGAGGAGACTGATGTAATGTTGCATCATGGGTTTGGGAATGAGAGTTTCAAACACCAGGCTGTCCACACACTTTTCTTTCAAACCTGAACATTTTCAGAAAGAACTGTTGTGATAAAAATCCTATTTCATTATTAAGTGAAATATATCAAAAAAAGGGACCAAATTAAATGTAATACCTCAAATGGTAATGGTGTGTTTATATCTTTATCAGAGAATCCAAGTTACAAATAGAGGTATATAAAGTACGTGAAAGAAATAAAGTAAAAATACCTTAACAGAAATAAACTTTAGTAAAAATAATTTTCTCTGATAAGAAAAGTACTTAAGTAAAAGTCATAAAACTGCTCGCAATAATCAGAATAGTAAAAGTACTTTTGTACCCTCCAAGAAATGAAGTGTTGAATTTACTTAACCAAACTGATTCCATTATACCAAGATGAGTAAATTGCTTTACATTTTCTCAACTCAGTTTAGTGGATCCAGTTGACATAACTTGGTTAAGTAAATTCAATAATTACTTTTTTAGAGTGCATGAACCAGTCCTTTCGTAATGAGTGCAGTCATATTCAAATGTGTAACGTAAAACTAGGTGTTCAATTTTAAAGTAAATGAGTAAAAGTATCTTTTTTTGTTTTGAATYTAATGAAATACAAGTAGCAGTTAAAATAAAAAAAATCCTCAACTCCTCAAAGAAAATACCTAAGTACTGTAACAAATTAAATGTACTTTGTTACTATACACCTCTGGTTACACACAGGACATGCTTGTGAGAGATGTTTTGCAGAGTTCTATCACCTCGCATGTACCTCTTAAGCAACACTAAGCTCAAGCACTTCATTCTGAAAATAACTTTGCTTTAAGTGTGGGAAGTCGGTGTACCCCACCCACCCCCAGCTGCAAAAGTACAGTGTGTGTTAACATCTATGGGGCCCATGTGTCTGAGGTTGGTTGACCAGCTGGTCCTGCCAGCACTCAGATCATGTTGCTCAGAGCTCTGCCTGGGCTGCTGCTACTTTCCATCTCTCCTCACACCAGAGCAGGCTAAGGTGATGAGGAGGGGAAACTACCTTTACGCCCAAATGTAGTTTTTTCTGGTAAACAAAATGAGGATTTGTATCTCAGATTTCAAACACACACTGCACAAAAAATAAATAAATAAAATAAATAAAAGTCAAATCCTGACTACTTAATAGTGGTTTCAGACTTGATGAATTATTGCTGTCAAGAATTAATTTATTTCGCTGCAAATTTTAATTTTTTTGTATAATTTATGGTGCTGGAACTTCTATTCCAACCTTTCAGAGCCACCGTGATGCTGCTGGGGCCTCGAGACATGCAGCGAGACGGCTGAGTTTCAGGAGCTTCACCTCCCAGCACTCTCTTTATGTGGCCCATGCTGTAGCTGTAGACTGAGTCCGTAGAAAGACCTAAACTGGAGGTGGGGTCCACTTTGGTTATGTAGACCTAGATTGGAAAAAATAAAAATCAAACAGAAAATCAGAAGAGTTGTGTTTGCAGATAGAAAATAGTTTATAAAATAAAAATTAAAATGACAATATCCACTTCTACTTGTTAAACTAACACACAGAGCCTTCTCCAACCTTAGAGGATCAATGTGATTAACTAAACATGACGACTGAATCAATACTGTGAACRTGTGTTTCTACAGAATGTCAAAATAAAGGTGTCTCACTTTGAAAGCTTGACTGACAGCAGAATCCAGCATGACCCAATCCATCCTACCATTCACCCTGACAGTGCCGATAAAGAAATCCTGCTGTTTAACCTCCTGCAGGGACAATGGGGACAATAAATAAATAAATAAATAAATAAATAAATAAATAAATAAATAAATAAATAAATAACAGTTTGATATGGAAAGTGTAACGTAACAAAACACCTGAAAAAAAATGGAGAAAAACCCACTCACGTCTTTAAAAACACGTAAATCTGCAACACAAACGACCACTCTAACATGATGATCATCTCTCATTGAAGAAAGGTTGAGGGAATCTGCAGGGTGGACATCTATAAACAAATATAACAAATCATCTTATGTGACACATTTAAATTGTAATTTAATTGTTTCCCCAGGTCTTCATCTCAGTGGGGTTTTAAATCTGATTACATAAAGAAAAATGAWTGAAAGTTATAGTATTAAACTGATTAAACTCACTGTCAGAGATTYGAATGTCTTGAGCTTAAATTCATTTGCATTCCTATTAGGGTTTCTAAACTTTAAACTAAAAGTTGTTTCAAGTGCATAACRCAAAATAAAAGTTACGATWTGACAGAATTACYAAAAWWAAWMGSRRRTTTTT